GTCCCCGCTGAGGGAGGGCTGCTGAGCGCGGCGCCCTGGTCCTGCGGCGTCCCCGCCGAGGGAGGGCTGCTGAGCGCGGCGCCCTGGTCCTGCGGCGTCCCCGCCGAGGGAGGGCTGCTGAGCGCGGCGCCCTGGTCCTGCGGCGTCCCCGCTGAGGGAGGGCTGCTGAGCGCAGCGCCCTGGTCCTGCGGCGTCCCGGCCGAGGGAGGGCTGCTGAGCGCGGCGCTCAGCGCGCTGAACGGCGTCACGGCGAGACGTTGATAAGGCGACCCGAGGCGCAACGCGTGCCTCGCGCCGTGTCCCCGATAGCAAGGCAAGTGTTGTGCGGGGCGGGGCGCGGCGGGGCGGGGCCGGGCGGGGCATCAGCGCCACCGGGGCCCGCGGCCCGGGGACTTCAAAGTCTTGCGGAGCCTTCAGTAGTCGTCGAACCCTCGCGCAGACGAGAGAGAGAGAGGTGTTGCCCGACCGGGGCACCGAGACGCGCCAACATGCTGAAGGCGTTCGAGGACGTGCAGAAGCAGGTCCTGAAGCAAGTCTGGAAGTCGACCAGCATCGACAATGCGATCTTCAGGCTGCACTACCGCCTCACCTTTTGGATCCTCCTGGTGAGGATGGGGACTGCGGGACCACCGGGGAACCGCCGGGGAACCGCCGGGACGCACACCGGGGCGAGATGTGTCGACATCGTTTGTAGTGCCGACGTTGGGGGACTCGCAGTTTTTGTTGCACCTCTTTTGTGTCGCATGACGCCAGAAACAAAGGGCGTCTCCAAGAAAGTCACCACTTCGTCATCGTTGTGCATCACTCTAGCCATTGCTGTACAATCGAGTGTTGATAAGAAAACAGTGACCACAATCAGACACCCCGCCCTGGCCTCCTGCTCCGTCGCGCGCCGCGTTTGGCTCGGGACGCCCGATTATGCTGCCCAGGGACCCAAAACACTCATTACTTCTTGCTCGAATGGCGGAATCGAACAGACCCTAACTCAGTTTGCACTTCTCGCGGCATCTCTTTCTTTCTGTGCGACGATGCGCGTTTCATGTTACTTTGAGGGAGACACTTCTCGCCCCCCGCGATGGCCTTGGCCCTCCTCGCAGACACAAGTTGGTCACGACTGCAAGGCGCGCGGCGCACGAACGGTGCAAACTACCGGCCCATGTTTCTGATCAAACCTTCGCCCAGGTCCGCGGCTCGGCGGCGCCTGCCTTTCCCGGCTAGAGCGGCGCTAGAGCTGCGCCCGGACGGCGCCGGTCGGCGAGCTCTCCGTTTAGCATGCCCAGGTGCGGAAAGCAATAACCACATCCCATTTGGTCCCCTGGCCGGCTTGCCGACGCCGCCGCCGCGCGTAGAAACAAGTTATTACAGTGCACCTGTGCAGATGATGTCACCTTTGACCAGACTTGCGCGTTCGCGGTGAAGCCCCCCCTCCCCCCCTCTTACTATCTTTTTTTGTAACGCCTCGTAAAACCATTTTTTTTCTCTCCTCAGACGGCCACGATTCTGGTGTCTAGCCGGCAGTACATCGGCGAGCACATCCGCTGCATCGCCGGCAGCATCCCCGGCCACGTGGTGGAGACGTACTGCTTCTTCACGACCACCTTCACCGTGCCCCGGCACAACAACGACTCGCAGGTGCCGCACCCGGGCGTCGGGCCGCTGGGCCGCGGCGACCTGGAGGACGAGTCGGTCGTGCACCACGCCTACTACCAGTGGGTGCCGTTCGTGCTCTTCGGCCAGGCCATCATGTTCTACCTGCCGCACCTGCTGTGGCGCATCTCCGAGGGCGGCACCATCAAGGTGCTCGTCAACGGCCTCGAGTACGGCTACGTGGCGCTGCACGACCACGAGGTGGGCCGCGCGCCCTCCAAGCCCAAGTACATGCATCAGGTGAGAGCGACGATGAGACGGTGCGATATCCAGATTTTGACATCGTATCACGATCGGTACAGTATAAGCAAAATGAAGAAAGGGGTCCGTGGACCACCCTGTATAGTAGTATCGCGCAACCTCGATATTTCGATATCGATTCGATATCGGGAGAATGTCGAGCCCACCATATCGGACAATATCGTGATAAGGCACAGCCCGGTTCGACGACCCTCTGATGCTTCGTCTGCTTCCAGGTCGGCGTGGTGCGCACGGCCTTCGTGAGCAGGCTGCGGCTCAACCGCTGGTGGGGCCAGTGGCTGATCGCCGCCGAGCTGCTCAACGCCGTGAACCTCCTGTGTCAGTTCTTCATCACCGACTGGTTCCTGGGCGGGCGGTTCTCTGATCTAGGCTCCTCGGTGCTGGAGCAGCGGCCCGTGGACCCGGACCCGCTCGACATTGTCTTCCCCAAGGTGAGGGATGCCATCGAGAGGCCGCTGGCAAGCAGGTAGGCACGCCCGTCGGGCAGCTGTGTGCCGCGGGCGTGCCTGAGGCCAGGCGCCCGCTGGAGGTGGAGAGGCTGCGCGCCTGCAGGTAGGCACGCCCGTCGGGCAGCTGTGTGCCGCGGGCGTGCCTGCCGCCAGGCGCCCGCTGGAGGTGGAGAGGCCACCCGCCTGCAGGTAGGCACGCCCGTCGGGTGCCTGCCGCCAGGCGCCCGCTGGAGGTGGAGAGGCTGCGCGCCTGCAGGTAGGCACGCCCGTCGGGCCGCTGTGTGCCGCGGGCGTGCCTGCCGCCAGGCGCCCTGCTATGCACGCTGAAGCACCCGCGACCGTTAAGCGCTTGCTGCGTGGTTCGCGTTCCGCTCGCGTTGACAGCGTGTGCCCGCCCTCTTCCAGGTGACCAAGTGCATCTTTAGGAAGTTCGGTCCGACGGGCACGATCCAGACGCACGACGCGCTGTGCGTCATGGCCCTCAACGTCATCAACGAGAAGATCTACACGTTCCTGTGGTTCTGGTACGTGGTCCTGGGCGTGTTCACCGCCCTGGGGCTCGTCTGGCGCGTGCTCACGCTCGTGCTGCACCACCGCTCCGACCGCTTCAACGAGGCCCTGTTCCAACACGACGGCCGCCTGGACCCCAACGACTTCGAGACGGTCATCAGCAAGTGCGACTTTTCGCACTGGCTCTTCCTCTACTACCTGTGCAAGAACATGCACTTTACCGCCAAGATGAAGCTGTTTGAGTGAGTACACGCCGGATCGAATGGACCGCGACCTTCCTCTGTACGACAAATCTGACCGAGGTATGCGTTCGTCGCCCCCACAGGGACCTGGCCGAGGAGATGCGAGACCTCAAGAGCAACGGGTACCACAACCGGGCCACGCTGCCGCGCAGCGACCCGCCGTCCTACACGGGCAGCCCGCTCCGGGACCGCAACCACGTCAGGGAGACCAACCTGGACGAGCCCGACGGCCGCATGGCGCAGCCGCTGCTGCCCGAGGCCCAGGACCAGCAGGGTCAGGAGCAGGAGCGCCCGCACAGCGACTAGCGCAGCGAGCGAGCGCTCGAAACGTCTTAGTTAGTAC